AGTTTTTTTTCTATGTTTACTCTTTTTGTCAGATATAATAAAAAATATAAATTTTTAAATGGAAATCATAGTTGGCTATGAACTTAAAAAAATGCTGGCGTTTTACCCTTTCCAATGATCTAAAGTTATGGACATCTATTTCTAAGAATGAGAGAAATATAAGGTTTTTGATCTTTATATCGAAGCGGGCCTTGATTTCGTGTTGACCTATTTGCCTAATTATTTTTTTATGACAATTTAATATTCTATATTATTATTTATCTGCATAATTAAAGACTTTTGAAAAGGTAAATTAACATTCTATATTAGTATTAGTAATTACAATTGAAATCGATACAATAAACAGAGAATAAAACTAAAAAAAGTATTTTTTGAGTGACGAATATAGTTTTCTAAAAAAAAATCATCAAAGATGTTCCAACTGAGCACCCCCTTGTTGAATACACAATAAACATCTTTTGCGCACAGAGTCACAACAATTTATTAGGCGAACTGGTGTAATAAGTCCAAAAGCTTGCCTAGTAGCCTTCTGTAATTCTCTCGTCCCAATGGTTCTTCCCTTATATATAAGGCCTTTTAATTTCCCCTATAAAAAAAGTCGAAAGGAGTTACATTACAGGACCTAGCAGGCCAATATATGGGATCCCTTGTTCCAATCCAATTCTCTCTAAATTCTCCAGTTAATAGTGCAGTTGTAACCCTGTGGCTTTTTAATTGTAATTGGTAATACTAATATAGAATGTTGATTTACCTTTTCAAAAGTCTTTAATTATGCAGATAAATAATGATATAGAATATTAAATTGTAATAAAAAATAATTAGGCAACTATAGGTCAACACAAAAATCAAGGCCCGCTTCGATACAAAGATAAAAAACTTAATATTTCTCTCATTTTTATTAATAAATACACATAACTTTATATTGTTGGAAAGGGTTAAACGCCAGCATTTTTTTAAGTTCATAGCCAACTATGATTTCCATTTAAAAAATTATATTTTTTATTATTTCTGACTAAAAAAGCACGTATAGAAAAAAACTGATTACGCCACTAGATTGTGCTTAAAAAAGTGCCTTACGAAAGTTTTTACAAAATTTTATTATTCCGGGAAATACAAAAGTTATGGGCAATTTTCCAAATGGTAAAAAATTCCAAAAGACTCCGTATCTCGGTTGGCAGTGAAAATATGAACAGTCGGTTTAGGCCATTAAACGTTTCTCAAAAATCGAGCCCATGACATCTATGTCGGTTTTGCTCTATCTAGTCAGGAAATAGGTTGTCTCTGTTAAAACAGACCAATTTCGACCCCACCCTGTACAGGGTGGGTCAAATTAGACGTAAGCTATTAAATGAAAACACCCTTTTCTATAGGAGATAGACGAAAAACTAATATCGGGTAAGTCTGGAGCTCAATTTCTCATTAAAAACATGACGGGTGAAAAACTGCACATCAATATCTGTTACCGTTTCGGAGTTACGGGGTGTTTTTCAAAAATGTGCATTTTTAACAATGTAACTGTCGCTGTAACTTTTTACCATGGAAAATTTTGTATTTCTATGAAAACATTTCCAAAAGCACCTTTTACGTAGAATGTAATGGTTTAAGTATAATTTTTTTTTTAAACTAATAATTTAAGAGTTATCAACAGAAAAATTGATTTTTATTTGGGACACCTCTATATTTTAATTAACTGAAAAGAATTTAAAATTAACTTTCCAAAAATATAGCACAATTTGATATTTTGTTATAATCCCCTTCGAAATACAGGATTTTAAAAAGTTTACCACTTTTTAACTAGTAGGCTTTTGGACCCCTTTATTGATGATATAATCCTTAATGGAACTGGAAAACATATTTTTCCAGCAAGGACGACGCACCGCCTCTGAACCCTGAAGTTATCAACAAATTTTTGCAGCCAATTTCAAAGAATAATTGACTAGCTAACCAAGATCCCAGCCGTTGGCCGTCGAGGCCGCCTGACTTAGTGCCCATGGATCTAATCCTATGGATATATTTGCGGAAGAATAAAGGTTCCTTATTCTTCCGTATAATCCTAGACAAGAATTAGAAATACTTAGCAGTTATGAGAGGGTATCTTTCACACCCCACTGAGTTAATGAATTCCACGAGAAATGTTCAAAAACTACCCCGTCTGTCCATAACAGAAGACGGTCGATATAATCGAACACTTGTAGCAAAATCTCATGTCTTGGTTTGGCTATTTATTTTTATTGTTATTAGATATAGTTTAAAATGTTGAGGTTGGTTAAATATATTTTTAAATTGTTATAAAATTCTGCATCTCTCATAGCAAATATTATTTTCGTTTTAATTGATTCTCACAGCTAGAATTTTTTTGCATTACAGCCGGTGCCGTTCAAAGCCTACTTATTTAAAGCGGGCGAATTTTTATATATTCTATATCTCGAAGAGGAAATCGGCAAAATATCGTGTTATATTTTGTGAAAATTTGTATAAGTGTGTTATATTTTTGGAAAGGTTCAATGTTGTAATGGCATTCAATTTTGTATTTTTTTTCAATTCTTTTAAATAAATAAAAATATACAGGGTGTCCCATATAAAAAATCAAATTTTCTGTTGATAATTCTTAAGTTATTAATTTTAGGAAAATTATACTTAAACCATTAAATTCTACGTAAAAAGGTACTTTGGAAATGTTTCCATATAAATACAAAATTTCCCATAGCAAAAAAGTTATAGCAATCTGTTAAAAATGCATATTTTTGAAAAACACCCCGTAACTCCGAAACGGTAACAGATATCGATATGCGGTTTTCACAATCATGTTTTTGACAAAAATTGAGCTCCAGATACCGATATTGGTTTTTGTCTATCTCCTATAGAAAAGGGTGTTTCCATTTAAAAGCGTCGAATTTGACCCACTCTGTACATTCCAGATTCCAAAATTCGTTATCTGTTTTCGTTGCTTTTGTCTTATAGGTATCTGTTCGTTCCGAGGCTTTGGACTGGGTTTTTTAACATTTGTAGTTTTAAATACCTCAGCCCCCATTTCGGAGGACCAGGTTTTTTATTCGAGATTCCTTCCTCGACAACTCAATTACTATACGAAAATTGTATTAAGTTCTTTAGGTTAACTTTTATGGTTGCAATTTTTAGATGGATCCAAACTGAATTAAAATCGTTAAGTAAACAACTAAAAGATAAAAAGGACCACAGAGACAAGCTAGAGGCAGATTTGAAAAGAGATGCACTAAAGGCAATTGATTTACAGAAAAAAATTGAAGAACAATCACTAGAACTAGAACGGCAAAAGAACTACATTGATGAGTATAATAAACAATGCTATGACCTAAAGAAAAGCAAGGATCAGTTTCAAACGACCAGGAAGTATGTGCAATATGCGTCATAATTATATGGCCTTTGAATTTTTCAACCAAGCCAAACTGAAATTAAAATATTTTTACTAAATAGATTGGTGTATCTGGAATGTTTTATCTTTTTTCTATTTAAATATTTATTTTTAACAAGTTTTGTATCAATTTTTAATAAATTTTCTTACAATGGCCACAAAAAACCGGTTTTGAATTGTATAGTATTCCTTAAATAAATATGTTCTATCATAGGGAATTATGGAGAAAAGAAAATCATGTTCAAGCAAATTTGACATCGCTTAAAGAAGATTTGGCCAAGGCTGACCAACAGTTAAGGTCGATGGTGGGCAAGCCAATATTGAATGGTCGCGATAGTGTTCGCAAAGTATTAAACACTTTTATAGGTAAACTTTTACTTATTTTATGTTCTTATTCAGGATGACCTAGTATTCCGAAAAACCTCTATATCTATCAGGTTTTCTATTTGAAAATTTCACTTCAATTTTTTACAAATTATTATGCAATGGTAGCGCATATTTCGTAGATGTACAAACTGTACAAAGTTCTAGTTTTTTAAATGTAGCATACTCTAAATTTGTTTTCAAAAATTCTCATTTCAAAAATTCCGTACCGTCATAACAAAGACTACAGTCATAATATGCAGGTTGTTAACTCGACAGTTACTTATAGGGAAACAGAATGGCAACAATGCCTATTGAGAACGCATGCATTATTGATTTTTCTGCCGACTCGTCCCGTGGCGTCGTCTATCGACGAGCGGAACGGGGTGCATATTCGTAATTCGCCGACACATTAGCCGCTCGGATTAGGTCGGGTACAGCGACGGACGGTTGCTAAAGTACCGACGTATTAAGACTAGTCTCAACCCTTATGCGTCGGTGATTTACGAAAGCAAAATACTGTTGTCTGCATATTGCATTGCAGTATAGGTTATGGTAAATCGAGAACTGTTAGAAAATTATACAAAACAGACTTGAACAGAAATTATCTTTAATACTAAAATTAAACTTTACGGTGTATTCCATTTAAAATAAGCAATATGATTTTCAAAAATTTTATGAAGCAATTTGCAATTTGTCATTTTTAGTACAAAATTCTAACTAAAATTTTGTTAACATTAAAAAATCCTTTCTGTTAGATAAATTATTATTAATGACGAAATGATGGTGGATTACTCTGTTTATAGAAATTACTAAACAACGTAAGTCTAAAATAATATATTATCAAAAAAATATATGAAATAGAAAAAAATTAAGACATATTTTTATTTTTTGGATTTACTACCTCCTAATCCTCCGAGTTACTATTAATTTTACTGGACAGTCTGTATTTCGCGAAGTTCTTTTGCGGCTAGCTTCCCTACTTTTCTTTTGTTTGGCATCAAAATGGCAGTGATAAAATATCTAAAATACTTATTAGACGTAGTCTCAGAGCCAATCTTAAAACGTTTTTGAAACTCTTTCAAAAATTTATCTTCTAACATTTACCAAGGCAGTTATCCACTCTATAATAAAATAAAAATAAACTAAAATTTGCTCGCTAACCAGTTTAAGCTTCCATACCGATAATACAATGATTGGAGCCTTAATAAAGGATAAGTTAAGTTTTAAGACTTATCGCAAGTACCGTATGATCGAAAAAAAAACAGCGTCTAGTTGGCTTGGAAGTGACGATCACTGACATTCCTTATATAATTTTAGATACAAAATGACAGCTATCTTTATTTCCAAGCCAGCTCTGACGCCATTTTTTTCGATCGTATGGTATATCTAGCATTCGCATGAAAGCATGTTATCTGCGCTATTACTATTTATTTTGTATTAATGATACATTAATAACATTAACTGTCATTGTTTAATTTCTCTGCAAAAAGCAACATATCTAAAATCTGTTTTTATCAATAATCTGCAACATCAGTTTATTGGTGATTATTTATTTGGTTTGCAGAATTAGCAATCTGCTCAAAATGTGCTAATTACTGAAAAACAATAAAAACCAATACAGGGGATTACTGATAGATCATAAAAAATTACGAGTATCCATTACAGATGAAGATCAAATTAATCCGATTTACAAATTTGCGAAGAAAGAAACAATAATTTGAGCGCATCGTAAATCGCCGACGTGTTAGTCTAATACGTCGGTACTTTACGAAGCACCCGAACTATCCCGAGCGGCTAATGTGTCGGCGAATTCCGAATATGCGGCCAGGGTTGCCATATTTCAACCATAAAGCTCTTGCCGCGAGTAATGAACAAATTAACAACCTGTATACCTAGTTATTTCACAATTTAGAAAAATCATTTAAAGATTTTTCTAAATTATAAAATTACAAATTCTTTATATTTTTTAATTGTATCTGTGCATGTATAAAGGCTCAAAACTAATTGTTGTATTTTTTTTTCTACTATATTGAATGTAACGACCCTATTTTATCACGAAAAAAGGTCATAATTTTTATCCATCTTTGTTTTGATAAATAATGTTTATATTCATTAGCGATGTATATATGTATATATCCTGGTTTTCGGTTTTATAATGATTATTTTCAGCAGCATCAGCACAATAATTCATATAATATTAATTTGCCCTATAAAGAACTCATTATAAGTTTGTCCCTCTTAATGACAAACGCCTACCAGTAAAATAAGCAAAACGCAAATAATGTGCTTTATTGATAAGATCTGTGTTGATTTATAATGACTGGATAAAAAGCTATAATTTATAATAGCCAGATAAAAACTGTGATGACTTGATTTCTAATCTAAAATACACTATGAGCGAGAAAAAAACGTCTATTTGGCTTCAGTGACTCCCAGTGACATTCTCGATATAATTTTGCATATAAAATGACAGCGATCTTCATTTCAAAGCTATCTCTGACGTGTTTTTTTTCTTCAATCGTATTTTACTTGTACAGGATAATCGAAAAATTCATATTCAAATTTTCGTGATTACTTATAATACAAAATGTCAAACCAAAATCTATCAAAAATTACCGTTTATTTAACATTGAAAAACTTTTAATACTAGAAAATTTAATCTTAAAATGGTTATATTTCAAAAACTATTCAATATAAATTATATACTTTATGGTTTATTTTTAGACCGAGAGTTTTATAATAAATCTAGTGTGTGCAATAAAAATATATCGTCAGTGAAACGTGATAACCTGCTAACTCCATTTTTTACCTTAATAAGTTTTTTTATACCATTTGAAAGAGAAAAAATACTCTATAAGTAGGGAAAGCAAATACATTTTTTCCTATTAAAGAAAATTTGCTATTTAACTCAATAATATTTGCTAACTCCTAATGATCTGAAATAGCCACCGAAATGCTGCTATCTCCGTTATTTCCGTTACGATCACGCTAAAGCAAATACACGGATTCTTTACTCGTATGTTTCTTTAGTACAGTACGTTGATCCAGGGTCGCACTAGGCCAAAGGGGCCCGAGTGTCAATGTAAGGAGGGGCCTATAATGGATTTTTTGCCTATTTTTTCGTCTTACGTTTTGGTCAATTTTTCCCTATTATATACAAGGTGAGTCTTAAATAAGTGCAAATATTTTTAGGGGTAGTATATTTCGACCCAAGAAACACGATTATGAGGTTTTTTTCCGCGAATTTTTTTTTTTTTGAAAATTTGGATTTTTTTTTAATTTTTAATTTAAAAACATACTTTGTAATATGGCAACATAGGTAGTAGATTAAATTTACAAGAAAGATCCAATGATTCTCAAAATTATAGCAAAAAATTGGAAATTTTAAAAGTGAAATAACTCGGTTGTTTTGGATTTATTTGAAAAAAAACGGTAAAGAGAAAATATTATGTTTCTTTTATCGATATTTACTAGCCCTGAAAATATTTGCACTTACTTAAGACTCACCCTGTATAGAAATCGGGGAACTACCCTAATACAAGGTAAACCAATGCAATGCAAATGCCATAATGCAATGCAAAAGCAAATAAAGAATAAATAATGAACTATAAAGGGGGCTCGGGAAGGCTGGGGCCATAATATGGCCAGTCCAACCCTGCGTCGATCCGTTCTGTAAATATGGGGTATCCGTAAAGGGTAAGGGGAAAAACGAAATTCTCTATATACGAGCAATTCATCGGCGTGCTATAAATAATTGAAATAATCATTACTTACTTGTACAAGTACCGTTGTATAAAAAGTATGATAAGCAACTTCAGTTCTTTAAAAATGCCTTAAAAATTATTCGTTTTTGGATATTCTAAATATATGGTTATGAATATCATATTTTTTAAATTTAATTGATTATTTCTAAATCTGTTTGGGTAATATTAATATTCAATTCCATTTTCAAAATTTCAAACAATAAAGGTTGCTATCTCCAAAAGTATATTTTTATTTCTTATTTCTGCAAGACGAATATCTGCTATCTCCCTATTGTGTCTGAAAAAAATGATGTAACACGAAATATTGAGTTTTATTGTTCTCCAGCAAATAGAATTCTTATCTCTTCATCATATTAACGCATGAAAATACTTCCTACATGTGTACATATTTTTTGTACCGTTTTTTTGTTCTCCTGTAAAATTAGGAATAATGGAGTTAGCAGTTTATCACATTTCACCGAAGACATGTAGAATGCGACCTTACAGATCTATTGTGCGTTCCCCTTTCTTGAGTTATAACGAGTTATAACTCATCATACAGTCTCATAAAAATATAGCATTCCATTTAAAGAAACTATAACTTTAGTAAATAATGTCTTTACTTTTGTAGCGGTTTCACTAAAGTTTGATTAGTTTGAGTAGCAGGTTGATCTTGTTACGTTAAAAATGTCTTATTGTAAAAATTTAAAATTTGGATATTTGGCAACGTTGCGCCACCTGTAGGAATACTTCCTTCTTGTCATGGCTGCCGGCAACTGAACACTGTTTATATTTTATTCACAACAATAAGTTATTTTTCAAGAATTAAACAAGTTGAAAAAGCTCGCGAGTGTTTTATTCAAAGAGACAAGCTAGTAGAGAATCAGTGCAACATAAATAAAATGGTCCAATCGAGCTGGATAATTACATTCGGGCGATAAAAGTTCTCAAGGTTGTTGTCGGCAGCGCAAGAGAGCAGGTTAGTTCCTTTAATTTTCCATTTGTTTTAACCGTTACCCTTGTATATCCATTTTGTTAGTATTGTTTTTGTTTGAATGAGAACTGTCGTACGATGGCAGAGCTAGATTTATTAATCCGGCAGCGCGCGGCTGTTAAGGGAAATCTTACGCGGCAAAAAATCATATCTAGAGCAAATTCAAGACGAGGAGATAAGCGAACGTATAGTCGTGGAACTAAAACTAAGGCTTTCTAAGGTAGAAGTTTTATTAGATACATTTATGAGATTCAAGATGAAAT